GAGGTTCAATCAACTTGGATCAAATTTCAAAGAACTGTTCAACAAGGGGAATACATTTCGAAGAATCATTCATGCCACAACAGGATATGACTCGATTTCCTCGTGTTAATAAACCTCTCAAGGCATTAACAATCAGGGGTATCCTTCCAAGATTCAAATGTTGGGACAATGCATACCAAGTTCATCATACTGCGTAGGGTCCAAATTCTTCAAGAAACCCTAAGTACTAACTTTTCAATCTTCGAATACTTAAGGAAACCTATGTCAAGTTCATGGTGAATTCTAAAGTTCCTTCTAAGGGTACTTCCTCCAGATCCTGGAGATTGAGGGGCATGTCTTTCAAAATTTGAATGTTGGGGCAAACTACTACGAGGCTCGAGAATGGTGGGGTGATTCACATTAAGATCAAAATACTTCCAAGCTTATGTAAATGAGAATCTCCTCCAAGACCCTGTCAACAAATTAGGGAAAAACAATCCATGCAGGGGCAAGCTCTCTGAGTACTTCCACAATCTCTGATGGGTCTTTCTTCCATATCAATAATCTTCAAGTTTAAATCGAGTATCGGGAGATCATGCAAGCTCAACATTCAACCACCATGTGACAAGGAACCTTGTAGCATAGGAAAACCTCCACGCTTTAATCATCCACGACCCATCACAGGGGCACCATCCAAAAAAGATCGTTCAAAAGTATATCATAAAGCATAAGACTACATAAATCATGCATTAGGGTTCCTCGATCCAAAACCAAGCTATAATTATCATCTCATCCATCTGACGAAGTCCGACAGCATGGGTCGAGCATTTCCTAGAAAGCCCAATCGTGCATTCAAATTTCAAAATCCAACATCCATTTACATATATCCAAGTCATCCATCACACACATCAATCAATCATCACATTTCATGTATCAATCAAATTTGCACGCATAACATAAAACCTCGTTTTTATGTGAAGACAATTATCATTGTCGATCAAATTATCAATACTACATTGAATCTCGGCAAAAGATTCTCCTGGTTGATCATCGCAGTTGATTATCCAGAGGACCTCAGCAGAAGGTATCACAATTGAATCTCGGAAGTAGATTCCCCTCGTTGATCACAACAGATGATTATCCAGAAGACCTAAACAGAGGTAGTTCACAATCTAATCTCGATAGTAGATTGTCCTGGTTGATCACGACATTTGATTTTCCAGAAAACCTCGGCAGGAGGTAGTTTCCAATTGAATCTCAGCAGTAGATTTTCCTGATTGATCACGGCAATTGATTATCCGTAAGACCTCGCCAGAAGGTAATTTCCATTTGAATCTCAACAGTAGATTCTCCTGGTTGATCACGACAGTTGATTATCCAGAAGACCTCGGCAGAAGGTAATTTCTAGTTGAATATCGGCAATAAATTCTCCTGGTTGATCACGACAATTGATTATCCGGAAGACCTCGGCATAAGGTAACTCAAATTGAATCTCGATATTAGATTCTCCTGGATAATCACGACACTTGATTATCCGGAAGACCTCGGCAGAAGGTAATTCAAATTGAATCTCGATAGTAGATTCTCTTGGTTGATCACGTCAGTTGATTATCCGGAAGACCTCGAAAGCAAGTAATTCAAAATTGAATCTCGACGGTATATTCTCCTGGTTAATCGTGGTAGTTAATTATCCGGAAGAACTTGTCAGTAGGTAATTCAAACAAAATCTCGGCAGTAGATTCTCCTGGTTAATCTCGGCAGATGATTATATAGAAGACCTCAACAGAAGGTAGTCTCAATTGAATCTTGAAAGCATATTCCTTAGAAATCTCGGCAGTAGATTTCCCGTTAAAGAGCCTCACATCAAGCATGACATACGCATAACCATATCAAAATCTCAAGGTAATTCACATCATTTGGTGCATCTAACATACGGAAACACCAAAGAGCGTTTGATAAAGCATCAAAGGTTAGTCCTGGTTGGGAAAACATCAAAGGAAAATCCACGCCTATTTCCAAGTCCACGCCTATGTCCACATCCACACCTATTTCTACGCCCATGCCTACGTTTGCGACTATGTCAATGTCCGCGCCAAAATCCATGTTTACGTCCATGCCTACGCATGCGCCTATGATACATACATCAAGATCTCGCTAACATCTTTCACCAAATCCAAATCCACTAGGAGATACAGCAATGGGAAACGAACACTGTCGAGGAGTTGGTGACTATGAGAACCCGATGGTTTAACAAAAAGAGATTTATCAAAAGTATATACGTACACTTTTAGGGCATACACATACATTTAGGGCATACACCTTCTTGAGGCATATTCATACAAACATTCGAGGCATAAGCACATAAGCATTTTTGTACATACGCATTGTAAACATTTGGGGCATACATCACACTTGGATAGCACATCGATTTGGGGCATTATGCATGTAGTACATCTTCCAGAGCTGTTCTGTTTAGAATTAAAAATTTTCTTGGGGTTCATCATTAGCAGGCTTATCTGCGCGAACTTTATAGTCCAAACTTTAAGCAAATTTGGTGTTTATTTTCTTCATGTTGATAGTTGTGATTGAGGACGACACAACCGACTTTATCATGAATTTGGTATTCTTCATGTTGAAAGTTGTGGTTGAGGGAGACACAACCGACTTCATCGTGAATTTGGTGTTTATTTTCTTCATGTTGATATTTATGGTTGAGGACGACACAACCGACTTCATCATGGATTTGGTGTTCTTCACGTTGATAGTTATGGTTGAGGGCGACACAACCAACTTCATCGTGAATTTGGTGCTTATTTGCTTCATGTTGATAGTTGTGGTTAAGGGCGACACAACCGACTTCTTCATGAATTTGGCATTCTTCACGTTGATAGTTATGGTTGAGGATAACACAATCGACTTCATCGTGAATTTGGGGTATATTTTCTTCATGTTGATAGTTGTGGTTGAGGACGAAACAATCGACTTCTTCATGAATTTGATGTTCTTTATGTTGATAGTTGTGGTTAAGGACGTCATAACCGACTTCATTGTGAATTTGGTGTTTATTTTCTTCGTGTTGATAGTTGTGGTTGAGGATGACACAACCGACTTCATCATGGATTTGTTGTTCTTCACATTGATAGTTATGGTTGAGGGAGACGCAACCAACTTCATCGTGAATTTGGTGCTTATTTGCTTCATGTTCTTAGTTATGGTTAAGGGCAACACAACCGACTTCTTCATGAATTTGGCGTTCTTCACGTTGATAGTTGTGGTTGAGGACGACACAACCGACTTCATCGTGAGTTTGGGGTATTTTCTTCATGTTGGTAATTATGGTTGAGACGATACAAGCAACATCATCGTGAGTTTGGGGTATATTTTATTCATGGTGATAGTTGTGGTTGAGACGACACAACCAACATCATTGTGAATTTGGGGTATATTTTTCTTCTTGTTGATAGTCTGGGTTGAAGGCTGACACGACCAAACGCTATCAATGAATTTGGGTTCCATCGCTTTAAACCCGGTGTATTTCATTTGGTTATCAAGTCTTTGGTTGAGGGCTGACACAACCAACATTGGCTTTCCAAATTCCAAATATCTGGGTTCAAGCTTGTATTATCTATCCTCTAGGCTGTGATAGGTACACGAAAAAACTTTGGCTCATTGGGTTAGTCTCTAAGCAGTAATGTATTATTAAGCTTTATGTTATTCGTCCCCTAGGCTATGATGAATGTACAAAATCTGCGTCACAAACTTACTATATTAGTCTTATAGCGTTAGTAAATTAGCTTTTCAAACTTGTATCATTTACTCCCTAGGTTATAATAAATATGCAAAATTCTACAATATCTTTTAGGTACTGACGAATCATCTCCATCGTCATGTCTAAATCAAATAAAAATTTTGGTTCAAATGCCAGTAAGATGATACATCATCATTTGTACCTATTCTTCACACCCATGAGAATGCTGCACAACATATCCTTGTAAGTCTTTCGGGCAAATTTTGGGGTGTTCCAATATTTAATAAACTTCTGATCGAAACGTGCGAGACCTGCATATTCTCGCACTATTCAACCGAAAGATAATTATATAGGGACAACTGTCATACCCCAATTTTTTCCGGGTCTTTTTTGTTTGTTGTTTCATTTTATTTCGAAAGAATGAGATAATACAGTTGGTAAAGACTGAGAGGTATGAGCGAAAGGTCACGAGTTGAAATTCCAACTCCCACACTTTTTTACATTTTTCTGTTTTATTTATATTTCCTTTATTTTCTAACTTTATTTTTATTTTATCCAATAAAATCACAAAAAATACATTTTCATTTTAATTTTAGTTTTTTTATTTAAATCCCTTTTTAATAATTATTTTATTTTACCATTTTAGTAAAAAAAAATACAAAAAGAGAAGGTGTTGATGAGCAAGTAAAGAATAAGGAAAGTTTTTGTGTAATCTTTTCAAATTTGGCAAAGAGATTAAAAATCAAATAAATTTTAATTGGTCATTTTAATTATTTGATTGATTTCCTTAATGAATTAAGGTTTAATAACTTTTTATTTGATTTTTTTTGCCATTTTTGTTTTAACCTAAAAACCACTATAAAAGAAACATCACAATTTCACAAAGAGGGAAGGTCACTTTTCACTCACTAATTTTCCACACATTCTATTCACTTAACATTCACAAAAGACCAATTCTAAAACCAGTACACACATTCCATTTCACGTACATATTTTTTTCCGAAATTTCTCAAACCTTTTTTCTCTTAGCACAAAACTTTGTTCTATTGTAAACTATTTCACACTTCCTAACAAATTCAGTTTATACTCACCAATTTCACTACACTATCAAAACCACAATTTCATAAACACAAGTTCTATTTTATCACCAAAAATTAACCATCACAAACCTTGAAGACAACCAAAAAAAATATTTTAACATTAATAGCTTTCCTCATTCTAACTAAAACAAAACAGTTCAAATTTTTTCTCACAATACATTGATATAAGTTTTTTATTTGCAGTTCGTAGGAAAAACAAAACATGAGGAATAAAACTTAAATCTGCATAATTGATTGCATCTTTTTGTTAGTTGTGTAGGAAACAAAGAAAGAATGAGGTCCGATATCGAAATCATCGGCTTTCCCAAAGTCAGCAACAAAAGTTGTCCATACACGACCATCGCGAGAACACCATTGCAATCTCCGGCCATCATGAACCGAAACTCACCTGCACAATTCAGATCGACACAGACGGAGTCCATCTCTGATCTACAGACCAACCGCGCGCCTCCATGATTCACGCATCTGACCAGTCCAAAATCTCCTTCCGCGCCGCACAGAACCACCAGCGTCGCTTCTGCCGTTCAGCCAACATCCACCGCGAGCCTCTTCGATCTTCAGCCACGTGAGCTTCTTTATTTGTTTTCTGATTTAAATTACTTAATTCAATATTGTGTATTTGTTTGGGCTTTTTGTTAAAAGAACAAAGAAGGAAGAGCTAAGATGAGTGAGAGAGAAAGAAGAAAAGGGAGTTGAACCATAATACTATCTCTCTGTCAGTCACATCAAGAATTTCCCAAAATGCCTACCTATTACATCACTTGTAAATCAACATACTACAGGATGGGAACACTGTGTGAAATTTTATTACTTAATAAAAAATTTATTATTTAATTGTAATTATTAAATAGTTATTTTAAGTTTATAATTATTTAAGTTTTTAAATTAACATTTTATTAATTAATTTTATAATTAAATAGTTTATTAAATTATTTGTAATTAATAATAAAATTAAATAATAAAAATTATTAATATAATAAAAGAAAATAGAAGAAAACGAGAAAAAAAATTATTCATTCCTTTCACGCTATTTCAAATGGCGAGAGCCCTTGCAGCGTTTGTGGGTCCCACATTCGCGCCATTTGAAATGGTGTGAACTTCCTGGGTGTGGCACTTTGGGCAATTATTTTCAACAGACGTGGCATTCTGAGAAAAATTCGATGTTAGTAATAGCAAGGGAGCGGCAGTTGCTATAGTACTAGGATTGCATTTTTTTTCAATTCGAACTTCATGATTTGGTGATAATGGGCTTTGACCCAACAAACCCGTGACCCATAGTAGTAGTTTTCTTTTCATAATTTTTTTAAGTTGAAGAGCATTGGACTCTTATTATTGTTCATATACTTCTAGTGATTTAGCATATTGTTATAGTTTTTTTCTTTCATTTAGTTTTGGGTTAATTTATCGCTTTGGGTTAGTTTATCCTCTCTTTAATTTAAGCCTTGTCATTTTTTTAATTATTATTATACATCTAATCCTAAAAAAGAAAAACAATAGAAATATGTTTAGAAAGGTACAAAGAAATATTAATAATGAAAATACTTTTTTTAATCAAATTAATTCAAACATTCTGTGAATAATAAGATGTTCCTCTTCGAATAATTAAATTAGTTGATATATCGTCCATCAGTTTATTATTCAAATTCAAACAATTAGAACCCACGCAACTCACTAAATTCTATGTCCGCGAGCGACACGTGACCAATATCTGGCCACGTGATGAGGAGACTATACCAGACTGCCTTGCTTTACGTCTTAATGCAATTAACCAACTTCAAATCAATATTTTACTAATATAATGAATTTTATATTTATTTTCAAAAAGGATTGTACTAATATCGTTTATCGACTACGATCTATATCCATGATTCCGCAATTTACAAACCCAGATTTGATTCAAAGAGAATTCGAGGTATTTCTACAACCCGTAAAAAACACATACTCGCGAACTACGAAATGGGACTCTGATTCCTCCTAAGAGGATACGTAGGTATACGACTAAAATTATGGCGAGTCCTCCTAACTAAAATTCAAACCCTATTTCATAAACATCACGCTTCTAAATCTAGTATCCTTGCGAACAAGGTAGATAAGGGATGCCTAACACCTTCCCCTCGTCTAGAACAGAGTCAAACTTAAAATCTCTGACTTTTTAGGGTTATTCCTTTATACCCCATTCCTTAAGGATAAAAATTAAGGGTGACATATCAAGAGTGACATACAATATATATGTTGCGGAGCTTGACTCAGTATTGTGACAACTTTTTTGATTGTGTCTGAGTTGACGACATGTATTGGGTAATCTTACCATTTTGTTTTTCGTATCAATTTCGGTTTGAATATGCGTGCTGTTAAGGAGGCCCTTTTTCTTCCTTCGCATATGCTCATTGTGCCAAACAATGCTGCTTTCATAAGTAGGCCAATAATCATCCTTTGCTACAACCGAGAAGCTATTGTTGGGGTTATTGTAGTAAAATATACAACTCAATTTCGCCGAACTCACAATGCTCGCGAGTTTAGAAAATATTTTGAACGTCATCATCATCGCGAATCTTTAGTTGAAAATATATGACCTGGTTATTGTCAAATACAAATGGACTCTTGTAAATGATTTGGTAAATTGGACTAGATTTCAACTTTGTCTCTATTCTCTCTTTGAAATGTGCAAAACCCGATCTATTATTTTTCTAAACCGATTAAAATATTTATTAGGAACATTAAACTCAAACTTCTTAGAGTTGAATGTCTCACCCTTTATATGAGCATTGACTATGTAATGTTGTGCATGATCCATTTTGTATAAGATTGGCTTAATTGGAGTGTATTTTAGATTGATGGCAGTGTGAATTAGTTCAGAAAGGTGATGTGTGCACTAAAATAGGTTGGAAAAGCATGGGTCTTAAAAACTCATGTGCCACCATGTATGGCGCATCCTTTGTAATCTATACATAGGCGTCACACCCTTTGGTTATTCATATGATCTGCACACTTGCATTCATGCCATTCTGACCCCTAGCCTGCAAAGTTGCTACCTTGCCATTGCATGCATGCAAAAAGATGTCGCCACTTTGACTGGCACATGTGTACAAAATAAAGAGCATGTGCCATAGCCCTTGGCACATGTGTGTTGAATTGCATGCTGAAATTGCTTCGTGTAAATTCATCTTCCATCTATAAATACCAATAATAATCAACACAATTTCATCATCAATAATCAAACACACACACTATTTGTAAGTTATCAGCAACAACGACACAAGAGCATACCAAAAAATGGCTTCATTGACCATGGGTGAGAAACATATAGGAACCATCAACAACATTGATTCCTTTGTAAGTTATTATTTATAAATAATATAAGTTTCTCCTTATGTTACTAAATTTTTTTCTTATATAACTTTTCCTTAATTATTTTTTGATAGGATCCAAAGAGATTTTGTTGTCATGTACATGAATATGTCCCACATGACGAGGTGATATAATCGTATTTATGACAAGTCGATTTTGGTAATATACTCAATATAGACTCCTACCATGTTGATTATAAATTAATTTTTTCCTTGATGAAAAGATGGAAATCCGAAACACACACATTTCATCTTCTATACGGTGAATGTACCGTCACCCTAGAGGACATGTACATGTTACCGGGCCTACCTATCAATGGTAAGGTTGTTAGTGGTCGAGTTAAGCAAGACAACACAATATGCAAGGAACTTTTAGGTGCTCATTTGTTTGAAGACACGACAAGGGGTCAAGATATTAATCTCAACTACCTTAAATAACACTATTCATCTATGATATTGAGCGAAAAATTCTACTGAGCATAAAAGAATAATGAAAGCTTGGTGTTATATTATGATACTATTGGTAACTTTTTATTTTCTGAAACTACCTGTAATACTGTTAATATTATGTATTTACATTTTTTAAGATACTTCAATAAAATAAGCACATATAGTTGAGGTTCAACTGTTTTGTCTCATCTATGTAGTTCTTTGTGTGAAAATGCATGAAATAATACTAATTCATTTTATTCATGCGCTTTTTTCTCCAAACATGGGGTTGGTCGAGAATGTCGACACTCGCCCCTGTTAACGAGAAGCCCTTCACATTCCCCTACGCGACAAAGTAAGTTTATACCATTATTCAATTTACTTACTTTATATTATAAATATTGGTAATTAATTTATTTTCACTATTTTTGGTTTAGGTGGTGCGTTCTAGGGATAAACTATAAAAAAATCCTAAACATGCTATAACGGTCTATCAAAATCTTCTGGATCATATTAGAACCGACAACGTATTACAACTAAATAACTACATATCTCATTAATTTAATTTAATATTACCAATTTACTAATCTTCTAAAAATGTATTTTTCCTCTATAATTTGTCTGGAGGTCGTATCTGGGTCTTGACCATGAGATTAACCCCAAGGATGCTGCAATTTAGACTGTAAAAATAACAATCATCAGATTCACTACTGTGGAGATGCACCAGAGCCATCATGTCAAAATGCAGTTCAGCATGCCACAACAAATCACAGATCTCCCGGCGTGTTTGGAGAATGACATCAATTAAGAGTCGATGACCAATGGAGATATAGATATTTGAAAGACTTCGCTAGGGATGCATATTGTTAATGGAGACAGCAACATCATCTGGCCATAAATGAACCAATCATGCAGGAGGATGTTAGACAAACTCAAAATTATATGAATTGGTATAATCGGTTTCAACAAATTTGTTTTGTCTCATCCGAGATATTTGATCGACCCACGCCAACGAGCTTCGTCATCATACGCCCAACAACCAATTCCACAACATTACCAAACCCAACAACATTGTCAACCTACACAAATCCAATAACCTTACGAAACAACATACACCAAAACATGTGACTAATTCATGTCACACACTCAAACACAAAACTAAGAGCATGACCCATATCGCCACCAACCATATGCTACCACCACATCTTACCATAACACTTATGATACCACCACATCGTACTATAGCATCCAACTAATATACAGTCAAACGTCACACCGTAAGATCACCCAACTAATAAATGTATTTCAAACACCACAAGATTGTTTCATTTCCAAAACGATTCAATGTCCCAATTCAACCAACCACCCCGCCCACACGTAACCCAACCAACACGACCCAACTACAACATCATAGGTACAAAACTCGATTACAGTAGTGACGCCTATTAGGGAGATATGATCGAATACTTGTTAGATAACACTAATATCACAGGACTCTCGAACCAATCACCTCTGCCTCAGGCGAATACTAAAAGACCCCAAACACTTCAGGAAAATCAAGCGAGTCCTGGAAGACAAACACAGAGACCGAACGGTGGAACCAGTAAACGTTTGGATCGAGGGATCGATAAAATTATCTTCAATCA